TTTGTGGCTTTGGGCTCAGGGTTGAGGAACAACTGTTACATGTACCCATGGTACCAGCTCGAGTTAAGAGCGACAGGAAGAAGTGATGTGGCGATCGGTATCCGAAAGACGAGGAGTTCATGTACCCTAAACCCTGTTCGTTCAGAGTGACTAGGGACCTCCGGAATATTCGTGGGTGGCACGGTCCGTTTCCTGCCAGTGGCTCGGGACTTAGGCTTTCGCATCGGGTGTTTTGTGAGCTCTGTGCCTTATCAGTTTCCATCCGGGACCTGCAAAACGTTCTAAAAGCCACCTGAAGCCCATGTGGAGGCACGGTCTTCACGCACACAACAGGAGAAAACACTACGAGCCTCGAAGCTAAACCCTCCACCAGACTCTCCACCCTACAGCGTACCTGAGGCTCCGCATGGCCAGCCAGCAGTTCCTGTGCAGCATTCTATTGGCATGGTGTCTTCCGGCATCGGCTTGTTACGAATATCATTAGAGTACAGCTATTAGTCGTAATGGTATTGGTACCATGATCATTCTGAATGCCGTATTACTTACGATCTCATGTGGCCCAATACCCTATCCTTGAAGAACCGCTGCGCTGCACTTGGAAGGTCAAGTCTAGTTTCTGGATCGCCCTGCTTGCACTAGCATGATATCTTGCACCACCCTCGCCCCCTTACTAAACCATCTACGACCTGGTGACCTTTGGCTGTAGAGCCCCCAAAATCTGGTTTAGTGTCGAACTCCAGAGTCTGGGCTTCCGGCGCTTGGGTTTAGAACTCCGACTGTCAAACATTCTGTCCATACTGAATATCCTGGAGTATGTAGTCGGGAGCCTCAATAGGAAGGTATTGAATATCCTAGAGCATGTAGTCGGGGTCCTTATTGAAGAAGCCTCGGGCTATTCCCAAGTGTGGTAAGGGCTCTATACGAAGGTAGACTTGATGCACAAGGTTTGGAGTCTCAAACTCTACGGATCCTAAGTACCGCTTCTTCTATAAATACAACAAGCCTCCCTAAACAGAAACCCCTAAACTATACACCCTGAACCCTAAAAGCAAACCCCGCCCTCGGACCTGAACCCTGAAGCCCTGAACCCAAATGTAGGGGCCCTTCATAATTAGAATAGGGTTTTGGGGCCCATTATACTATAAGTATAATATGGAACCCC